CGGGGGGGAAATAGATTTAAATAAACAACAATAAATGAATGAGTCAATGACAATAACGTGCAGTCTCTGGCAGCTAGGGGGGCAGATGTCTTATGGGGTGAGATAACCTTGGATGCCTCTGACAGTGGGCTCCAGTATGAAAACTGATGCCATAATACTTTTGTATAGGATGTTAGGGTATTGCATTTTAGGGCTACAGATTTAAAATTGTTGCAGGTCAGTTTGGGAGGAGAGAGATGAACAGAAGGGCTGGGGATACATTATCTGAATATGTAAGACATTTTGACAACAGCCATGTTGATCCACAGAAAAATTCCCCAAACAAACCAAAGAACACATTTTGCCAAAAAGAGAGTATCAAAGCAGGTCTGGGAAGCATTGCAGTAATGCTGAAGAAAACCCAACACACCGACAATTAGGGGGAAATGTCATGTGGATGCTTAAAAAACAAAAACTGCTCCAGTGTGAATGCTAACTTGGAGTAAACCTTCTGTGTAGATGCAGCCTGTATTAGAACCACCTGAAACAACACACAACCAAATATAAGCCCTGTACTCTTCATCAGGATAGATGATCAAAAAGCAAAAAAAAAGTGCAGGTAAGAGAGAGAAAAATGTTGCAGAACCCTCCCCCCCCCCCGCTTCTTAAAACAGAATCCAGGCTGTGTTGCAGCCTTAATCGGATTATGGAGTGTTAGAGACAAACAAGCTTCATGATGCATAGAGGCTACTGGCACAGACAAGCAGAACAAAGAAGGTCACTTTCCCTTGGAGAACCTAAAAATTAAAGAAGCCAGCTATCAATATGGCATTTCCCCTGTGCTTCTGAATAGGGGTCTTCAAGCTGTGGGGCAGGATGCTCAGGTGGGTTGCAAGGTTCCATTTGCTGAGCCATAACCCCCCCCCCTTTTAAATTGCATCCAAGTGCATTCAGAGCACGTTGCATCTCTTTGCATCTAGGCAAAGGGAATCAGGCAGGGATGGAATAATAATAATTATAATCGTCTGGCATTGTGTGCATAGAATAGCCAGGAGATCCTAAGATTATCTGGCAGCCAGAATTTCTAATGCTTTTAGTGTTATGCACCTCTAGATGGCGAGCAAGACTTAAGGCAAGACATTTCAGAGGTGGTTTGCCATTGCCTGCCTCTGTGCCATGCCCCTGGTATTCCTTGGCAGTCACCCTTCCAAATACTAGCCAGGGCTGACCCTGCTTAACTTCTGAGATCTGATGGGATCAAGCTAGCCTGGGTTCTCCAGGTCAGGGGAGGCAGGGATGGAGAGAATTGCTTTTTAACAGTACAGGAAGTGCTGATGACTAACTTAGGGTTGCCACCCTCTGGGTGGGGCTGGGAGTTTCCCCAGAATTATAACTGATCTCCAGACTGCACAGTTCAAGTTCCCCTGGCAGCTCTGGAGGGTGGACTCTACAGCATCACATCCCTACTGAGCTCTCACCCTTCTCCAAAACCCACCTTCCTCAGGAAACTCCCAAGACAGAATTGGCAACTCTTCTCTGATTCCTCTTCTTTCTGTCATAAGACTGTGGTGTCATGTGACTTCCTACCAAGTGCTCACAGCGGAATAGGTTCCGTGCTGTTGTCATGGGGGTTAAAGGCATAGTTCCCTCTAAGCTGAGTTGGTGTGAGCTAGCTCACAGATTTTTAGCCTCCGGCTCACAGATTTTTGTCTTAGCTCAGGAAGGAGGGCTCCAAAGCAAACTGATTTATGCAGGAGCCAAATCGCTCGCTCACAACTTTAATGCCAGTAGCTCACAAAGTAGAATTTTTGCTTACAAGACTCCATAGCTTAAAGGGAATATTGGTTAAAGGTGGGTCCAAGATCAGAAAAAGGTGAAGACCACTGTTTTAGAAGCTGTAAACTGGGACTTCTCCATCATATCCGGAAATATGCTTGTCTCTCCCCCCTCCCCTTTTAAACTAAACGTGCAGTCTGATTAAGAGTTCTGGAGAATTTGAAAGTTTGCTCACGACTGCAGAGATTTTGGCGGGTCCTAATAAAAAGGTGGTTGAACTAGTGATAGGCCAGACTTGCCTGATCTCGTCAAATCTCAGAAGCTAAGCAGGGTCGGCCCTGGTTAGTATTTGGATGGGAGACCACCGAGGAATGCCAAGGGTCATGACGTGAAGGCAGGCAATGGTCAACCCCCTCTGAACGTCTCTTGCCTTGAAAACTCTATGCGGTTGCCCTGAGTCAGCTGTGACTTGACAGCACTTCCAGCCACCAATAAAAAGGTATTACACCCAATAGATCTGTGATCTGTGTAAGGCCTGAAGGTGCTCCTCCTCCTGAATGTCCAGAAGGGGGCACAGGAAGGGAGCCCCCACCACTCCTGTTGCTGGGCTCTGCTTTCAAGGTTTGCCTGCATGTCCTTACCCCACCTCCCGACGGAGGATGCAAAGCTCGCTTCCTTCAGCCCAGTGCTTTGCAGGCTAGTGAGCCCTGAGAGGACCTTGGAATATCAAGCCACTGGCTGGGATGCCTCCCTCTCCTCCTTCCATTTGGGTGCTTGGTGTGGCGAGGCAGTGAGCAGCTTTGACCCTGTCCCATCCTGCTGCCAAATATATGTGCAGTTCTATCACTCCAGAGGGAAGGGAAAGGATGCACCAGGCTTTCCTGAGGCTGCTCATGCTGTACTGCTTCCAGCGAGCCTCACTTCCCAAACAGGAAGAGACTTCAGAAAGCAGGTATGCAATGTTAATAAGGGCAAGCCCAGGAATGAGATGGACGACCCTTGTTTTCTGTAGAACCGGGTGAAAGGTCTACGTTACTTGAATACTGCTAAGCCACAGACACACAGAGAAGCACCAGCACTAGCATCATGTTGAACAATTTTGTCATCTCATATGTTTGAAGACAAACATTATAACATCACTATGGCTGCGGTCACACGGAGCAGCCATGCTACAGAGACGGAAGATAGGTG